GGCGGGACTGGGCCCCCTGGCACCGCTAGTGCTCGGAGGGCAGTCGGCTGCGGCGCGGACGAGCAGGTTTAAATGGCCACGCAGAAAGTGCTGATGGGCAGATTAGAAGAGGCGTGCGCGCGCGGGCAAGGAACCCTGGAACGGATTATGCGCTGATAGCAAAAGTTAAGTCTTAAAAATTCCAGTCCCTCTGTGTAAGCCGTCAGCCACCGTGAACAGGGTGGATCCCTGTTATCCACTCCGGCATTTGCAATAATGTTGTAACATGAGACCATCCCACTGCTAGGGAAAAACAAACAAACTTAAAAGAACCCAGTGCCTCCCTTTGGCACCAGGGAGAGAGCCCTGTCTCCGAAAGGATGGCTAGCTAGGGCCTTATTTAAAATAACAATAATTTGGGGGTTTGATTACAAAGCTGCACGTGTAGAGTCACACTGTTTCCCCAGTGTTTATTCTGTGTTCTCCTTCCTTTAAAACAGATTATGGATTTTCTTTTCTCCCCTGTCTACTTTTAACATGATACTGTCTGCTCACCTCGTAATCACTGATACATTTTACCCCTCTTGCAATAAAGAGAAGTGTTATTCCCCTCCACTAAGGAGGAACTGAAACAGGCTGTTTGTTGCCTCAGTGGCTCCAGGCCGCCCTCTTGGCTGTGCTTGGCCAGCAGGGCAGACCCCAATTCCCAGTCACAGCACGTGGGCCACAAACCCTCCTTCAGCAGGGAGGTGGCTCCAAGCACGGAGGCCTGGTCTGGGCACCCTTTGCACCTAGCACTGGGTGCTCTTGCCCTCTCCCGTCCCCAAGCTCAGCACTTTGCCAGCGCCCAGCCCTGCGCACAGCAGACTGGGATGCCCTGGGGCTCCCAGCGGTGAGGGACGCTGCGGTTAGCTTGGGCTGGCTTCCTGTAAGACAAGAAGCTGCACAAGAGATGCTCCTCAGAGCAGGACCTTCTTTTTTCAAGTATTTGGAAAGCCACCAGCACATACAGACTTGTGATGATACGAGCGCTCTTAATCTCTGCTGCGCCACGTAACCACTATCCCAGGACTGCAAAGTGCTACTTGCTTAGCAGAGCTGGTCTTAACATTGCCTCATGATTGTTTTATACAGATGGTTATTCTTTCAAGAACACTAACTTGATGGAAAGAGCCCAAATCACTTTAGGATTCTCGGCAAAAGGCATTCCAGGGTAAGGCTCACCCGCTTCATGGATGGTTCGAGTTATGCCAATACTGCACGACTGGAAACGCACAGAAAAGTAGTCTTGTGACCCCAAAAGCCCAGTCAACAAAAGGGTTAAAATCAATGTTTGAGTGTAGCTTGGGAAATTAGGATCAGCCTTTCTGCATGAAGGTCAGGTTTTCAAGGACTCTTTTGAGGAAATAACAAGAAAATACAATTTGTCCACATCCCTACTTTGCACAGATATTCCCTGAAGGGCTCTCTGCTGAAAGGCAGCTCTCAGATATTTAGGTACTTTCTCCTTTTAACATATGCCCTGGTTTGAAAGTTTCCTCTCCCCTATTCTTCCCACCTCCTCCCGCATCCCTTTCTCACGCTGTGCTTTCCAGGTGGGTGCTGCGCTGTAACCGCGAGGGCTGGGTCACCTGCATGGGGTTGGACGGCAGCTGCTGGAGCTTCCAAGCTGCCCATGTCAGGGAAACGCAGCTCCCTAATGATCCTTCAGCTGCTCTTGAACTGAGCCCTTTTACTCACCCCTATCTGCAAGCTCCCTCTTTCTTTGCTGGGGGGGAAGCATCAGCTGTTTCCAGCAAAGCTCAGTCTAAAGGTTTTTTCCTGCCACCCCCTATTCCTCCCCCTAGCTCTGATGAAGTCATCAGGCTAAAGATTGCATAACTGATGCACAGGACTATCTTGTGTTATACTGGGAGACGGGCCAACTGCTTCCATTTATAGACAAAAGCAATGCCACGCTGCCAAATAATGGAGCCCTTTGCTGCAGCCACTACAAGGAAAAGGAGAAGGGGAAAAAAAAGAATCAGGAGCCAGAGGGCATGCTGTGAAGTGACATCACTAGGAGCTTCCTCACCAAGCCTCAGTGCACAGCTGCCTTTGGGGCTGCTGCCGAGACCTGGCTGAATCCGCTTCAAAAAAAAATCTTATTGCACAACTACTGTCCTGGCTCTTATGTGCACGCGCACGCACACACACACACACATATAGCAGAGGGAAAAAATTCACCCCAGGGATAATGCCGCAGGAGGCACTCAGTCCTGTATCATGTTACGTTATAAGTTAATTCCAGAGTTTAAAAAGGAAGAAAGCTTTGAAAGAAGCCCTGCCAGCTGCCAGGAATCCAGTGACTATGCAACAGCTGGAGGAAATATGAAGATTAGCACAAAGGTGTTACTTCCGGTGTTGTGTGCTTAGCCATTTCTAGGTACAAGAGTTTACCTATTCATAGTGGAAACTTCCTGTTTCCAATTTTAATAACAGATATAAAGCCAAGCTGTCTTCATCAACACAGAACAGCATCCTCCTGCCTGGAATATTTCTGCTGTTTTCCATGTCTTTTGGCCAAACTCTTCCCAAATAATGATGAAAGGCTCCACTGACATCACCGGCAGCAGCACTGGGCTCTGTGTCCCGAAAACAGGAGCACCGCCCAGGCAGAGTCTCTGCACACAGGAAAACGCTCCCTTGTGTGTGGGAGCAGAGCTCTGTGCCAAGAGCCACCCCGGTGGCCGGGCACTGGGGCTCCCGAGTGGATGTCACGTGGCAGCGCCTGGTTCTGGTAGCAGCGCTGGGCCGCACACGTGGGCCTGTGGGTCGCGCTCAGCCGTGCACGCACCCTCCTTCCCCAGTGCTCCGTGGAGGTCCAGCATGGAGGTGAAGTACGGACCGGGTGGGGGGCGGAGACACACGTGAAAGAAGCGCTGCTCCCCTGTCCCAGGCAGCCCCTCGCCAGCCGCCCCTGCTCCAGGCGCGGAAGCAGCCCCGTGGCAGGAGCAGGCCCCGGGCCAGGCTGATCAGCACCGCTGCGCCTCTTAGCTGGGCTCAGGGCAGCACTACCGTGGTTACGTAGCTTCAAAACCAAACTCCTCCAAGCCTCGCCGACAACGCTCTTTGCCCCTGCACTGCTCCCTCCTAGCGCCCTCGCCTCCCACTGCACCGGCTGCCTTCCTGCCCCCAGGCCTCCTCCTCCTCACTCCCTGCCCTCTTTTTTTCCGTCTCGCCCCTGACCAGCTCCGGGTGTCCCTTCACCTCCGCTGCTGACACCGCTGGTGCCTGCTGGCCCGTGCCCACAGCGCAACTCACGGCGTGCCTCTCCCGCTGCGACTGCTCCAGACCGACCCCTGGGGATCCTCGGCAGCCAGGAGACAACCCGGCTCCTTCCCGCGGGGCCCCGTGCGTGCCTGCGTGTGTGCGCACGCGCGCATGTGTACGGGGGTGCCCTGCATGGCTGTACACGTGCAGTCCCTGAAAAGAGTGAGAAGACATGCTGAAATGGGAATTATATGGTCTGTTCTCAGTCTGTCTCTCATCAGCCTGTTGCATCTCATAAGATGGTACAGCACGACTTCTCGTTTTCACTCTGGCTCTTTTCAACAATCCTCAAAGCCACTGTCTGCTACTTGCACGCTCCCGAACGGCTCTGCGCTGGTAATGGTGGCTAACGCACAGTCACACACGCCCCAGCTGGGAACAGCAAAGCTGCAGCTCTG